ACGTCCCATACCACGACAAAGATCCACGCAGCCTGCAGTGGGTTCCGATCGCGGTATGCTGGCTTACAAGTCGGACTCGCAACGCCTTAGCCATGGACGCCGCTTCTAAAGGTAACTGAAATTAATTACCTCCACAAACAAATATCACGCAACACGCAACTGATAACTGGATTCGCTTCTCTAGTGTTAAGTTTATGGAATAATGACTAAACTAACTTCAACAACATACGACAAACAACTGACATCTATCTGGATTCACCTCTATGGTTCGAAGCTGACTGAACAACCACCATAACTATTCTTCCAACATACATAGAAACCACCCTAACCCGACCGTAATGTTGACTTTTCGCTGTGACTCACTTAAACACCGACTGAGTTATTCAAGTAAACATAAATGCAGGAGGAGAATCATATAAAACTAAGATAAAGATGTCTACTATATTAGGTACAGTCTATTTACATACATGTAATGTGATGGAAGACTGAAACTACAATGTATGACTGAAATGACAAGAATGTAATATAAATTATTAACACATCTTTGTCTAGAAATACAAGATCATTCTTCACTGTCTTGTTATACAATAAGCTCAAATCACTATTGGGTTGTCTACTTATGAACTTGTATATACAATACTGCTAAGAGAGAGAGAAATCATTTAAGCTCAACAAATAACATTCAGACAGACAAGCATCTGAAATCAAAATAATCTTTGCTTATGCATGGTACATTATGGAATTAAGACACAAATGAATTGTGACATGACAATGAGAAGTACAGTGTGAAATGTGCAGCATGTCAAACCTGGGACTAACTCTTCTGATACCAGACAACAGGTCACCCTACATTTGTCTTCATTCTTTTAGACGGGCACAATGGCCTGCGTGCCCAATTCTGAACCCTTTGAAAATAAAGTTTGTTCATTCATTCGTTTATCACTCTAAAGCTTTGCTTTTCAACCTTTTTTTTAGATGCTGCCCTCCGCTGAATATACGGCAAGACTTTCAGGGTGTTTATCTCTCAGTGTGATGTCCTGGTGGAGTGAAGCATCGGTCAAAATGGGTTTAAAAGAAGGAGGTAGACCTACAAACTACTCATGAACACAAAATCGCCCTCGACGTTTTGTTTAATAAACAGTTTGAAAAAATATTGTATTAATAATTAAACTGAAATAAAAAATTACAATGTACAATGCACTCAATTTCAAACTTGCTTGACGCCCCTTCTTGATACTTCCTTGTCCCCCACTAGGTTGAAAACCACTGCTCCAAAGATAACACAATTATTCTACTTCCTTCTTTGTTATACTGACCCATGCTATCAAAACTTTGTTTAACTGTTTATATCTGTCATAAACAGTTTATCATACACTTATTCATCAAGCAAAAGACAGAGATAGATTTATGTGCTAGTGCTTCCACCAATACACCTCCACGACCCTAATGTCATCTAAATTTAAAAAGGCACACAGCCGAATCAGGGTTATGTTATGTCTGACCGTTCCATCCATAAGTGCTGATGCCGTGTCCTAGTGGGGGTGGCTTGTGCACTCTAAAGATTGGCAAAGCTATGCCAGCAGGGATCTTGTGGCCCTAGCAGCTTCAAGCATGTTGCATAAGGCTTGAGAGGAAGGGCCAGGCATAGCTAGCACTGTAGTCCTCCAGCCTGGTGTCTGGGAAAGCGGTAACAACCCATTCATCATCATCATGTAGCAGGCCCTTTGCAAAACGTCGCTTTTATCACGGTCTGCCTGAAAGAAACTCGGTCTCTCGCCAGTCTCATTTACTTTCATATTCAAGGAGTATTATATTCATGGAGTCACTTATACCTTGTGCCCACCTTCGTATTGGTCGTCCCCTGCCCCTTTTTTCTGATACCATGCCTTCTGCTATTATTTTTTCCAATCCGCCATGGTCCTTGATATGAAACAAGTATTTTAGCTTTTGAGTCAAGATGCTGTTTATTAGCCAATCTTTGCTGATATTCATATCTTTAAAAATTTCAGTATTTCGCCTCTTCTTTGTCCATGGTATTCTGAGAAACTTTCTATAGCATTTCAGCTCAAATGCCTTTTTTTCCTCTTAAGGACTGGGAGATAGTCCACAACTCACATCTGTATGTTGCTACAAAATACATACAACCTTTCACCGTTTAAAAAAAAAAAGTATCTTTTTATGAACAAAGGATCAGGTAAAAAAAAATACAGGATGTAGTTTGAAGACAAAACTCAAGAGGATACAACAGTAACATTTTAGGAATACTATTATACAACAGTGAGTGTTGGAGAAAGTCAGCGTGAATAAACAAAAACCATAAACTTTTCAGAAAAAAAAATGTATAAGAATATAAGCCTGTGAATATTGTGGCCAACCAAATCACAAATGAAGAACAGAGGGGGGAAAACCAAAATGTTCATCACTGGCTAGTGTTATCATAGGAAGAACATGGAGATGGCTTGTGGAATGCCCTTGACGCTGGCAGAGGACACCCCTCCAGTGGATGGCAGATGGAAAATAGAAGATGTAGATGATTTACGGAAACCTGGAGAAGGACAGTAGAAAAGGAAAGTAAAGAATATATTAAATGACATATGCTGCTATAGGTAGAACAGCGGCAAAGCAACAAAGATCACTTGTGAATGCCTTTTTTGACAACAGCAACATGAAGAGGATACAGTGTCTTCATCTGTAACAAATGTAGACTCAATATTGTAAAGCGTTTCATGGCAACTGAGTTAAAATAATAACTATCTGGGATCGAAAGAGTAAACGCCCGACTCTTTGGTAACACATACAATTTTATAAAATCAAGCAAACAATAATACAAACAAGCATGAAACTGAGCAGCAACAAAAACAACAACTGATGTTTCATGTGTCTCCAGAGTCCTACTACCACTGATATGGTGAGGATGCCCTATCACTATGACATCACTTCTGCAGCAATGACATAATCATAATATCACTTTCTTGAAGAAAAAAAAAATAACTACATATGACAATTATCACCTTTACTTATATCTCCTGTATCTGCTGAATTGTGGTGCAAAATAACAATGTTATATAATTAGAAACAAAATAAAATGTAACAATATGAAGATTTAACAAAATGGTTAAAAATTATTAATACACTGTGTTGTACAATTTTAACAGTTTGTCACAGCAACATAAAAAAAAGTGTTATTCAATTCATCTATGTATTACAACTCCCTCTGATGTGATGACAAGTGCTACCAATATCACATACAATTTTATGGCTATGGAATCACAACATAGAATAGACATAAGATCCTGATCCTCTGGAAGCTAAGAGTATAAAGTTATATAAAGGCTGCTGTGTGTGATCCATGCAGCACACACTCACTGGACCACTTTTATGATGTAACTAACACTACAGCGTTAACATCAACCTCAACTCAATTGTATATATATATATATATAGAACCAACAACAGAGTGTACCACCCAAACTTAAATCTTATGTATGTAACTAATGCCACACAATTTTATGAATGAAGATATTACTAGAGGGTTAAAACCCTCGCTCAACTCAATTTTATGTATGTAATCAATACTACAGTGTTGGTTAAATCACTCAAAACTCATAAAGCTGCATAATGAAAGCAAAATATAACCAAGGTTTAAAAAAAAAATGTGTGTTGTCTTATCAAAGTGAAATTTTCTCCTTTGAGAAGTGATATTTCTCTTTACATTATAAATTTCCCGGTTTACATAAAGTGTGCACAAGTGTATTTCAAAGTTCCTGAAACTGTCTGTCAGGTCAGTGATTGAATGTGTAAACTAGTAATCATGGACAATATACAACAGTAATGTATCACATTGAAAACGTAATGTACCTCACATTGCTATAGCAAACATATGATGACATATTATATAGTGAATGTAACCATTGATTCGGTAACCCTGATATTATGACTCATGTCATACATATTATTTTAGTAAGTTTAGTCGTAAAACAAAACAAAGACAGGTATTATCTAATAACTAAATGCTCTGTGTTATAGCTCCACAACCGAACAATGTATCATTAATAATGCATCATTACACGTCAACAGACAAGGCACATGATGATGATGTCTCACCCAATGCAGTGTGCTATAATAAATCAAACAATGGACCCCCACAATTGAACGATGTAATCTCAGCCAGGACACACATACTAAATTTCCGGCAAAATTAATGATAAACAATATAAATAGACTTTAGGAAAAGAGCTAAACATAAATCACTATCAAATTCCCAGGTCAATTGTAAGTGAGCAATATTTCTCTCTGAAGCTGCATCATGGAATTCATTTTTCAAATGACCAGGGCTGAATTACTGAACCACAGACAAGGAGATATGTCGAAATAAACTATAAGTTCATATAAACTACATACCTTCCTTCTTCATACTAAATTCAAAACCTTTGAAACTATCCCAACTACTGACAACCCATGTTGTGGGTTAATTACTGACAACCCATGTTGTGGGTTAACTACTGACAACCCATGTTGTGGGTTAATTTCTGACAACCCATGTTGTGGGTTAACTACTGACAACCCATGTTGTGGGTTCCATGGCCCCAATGTTTGAATAAACAAGAATAGACCCACTGTTTTCCCAACAAGCATGTCATAGAAGTCGACTAATTCAGGGCTTCCTTTGAAGTCATAGTGAATCTGCCCGAGCGGCACGATACCAGCAACTGCACACAAATAAGCCAGTAAAACAGATGTACACACAAAACTCAGGACCTGGCACAAAGTTGAAGTCCAAATGGAAGAACATCCAGGACTTTCTGCCGGAGCCTACAGCCAGTGAACAACCAGGACTTTCTGCCGGAGCCTACAGCCAGTGAACAAAGAAAAAGAAGACAACCCACGAAAGAATGAAGTCATGTTCCTGTCCATTGAAAACACTGACATTCCAGAGCCATGGTTCTTTAAATAAAGACGTAATATGTGGGTTAGTGCTGAATGAGGTGATAACAAGAGTA